TGTGTCCGATTCATGTCTGAATGTGCAGCATGATGACGTTTCCTTATACGTTAAGACAGCAATCCTACTAAATTGGACCCAGTAACATTTTTTTTTTAAAATCACTTTTGACATGGCTGCACCCAGTCACATGAATGGATAGGACAGCAACAGCAACTCCATCATTTACTTATTGTAAATGATGCCCTACATCAAACGCGAATCATGTTCTTTTTTACATTAGACAAGTGCGCTGTCACAGTCACAGTTCAGTGCGTTGCTTTCCACTGTTTTTAGGAGTCTTTCCTCTGAGTTTCTGCAAAGACTGGTGCATGCAAGGGGCAACAGTAGTAACTTAGATTATCGTCACACATGGACAGGATTTCCAACGTGCAGGAAATAATAAATAAACAGAACTGTTAGTTAAATGGACACGTTGATATGCTGCTATTAGTTTAGATTTAGTCTTTTGTTTGTCATTGCTTTATTATGTATTATACATTACTTGGTGTATTGTCTAATCTTGCGTGAATGACAAATATCACATGGCGCTATCTCTGGCACTGTGTCTGAATGAAGCCATGAGGAACTATAACAGGTAAGCGACCTTTGTCTGAATGACAGAATGTGGTTACTTTAACAAACTGATGACGCCAGGAGTGTAACATATATAATGTCTGAGAAGAGCTTTAGTCAGTGCACTTGGATATGCAATAACTGTAAAATAAGAATCCAAAGTTTATCAGAGTGAAATATTTTAACTCTCATATTTACATAATTTCCAAATACTCTCAATTCTACAACAATGTAACAGACTTCCGGTAATGCAGGTATGACGTTTGGTGTTTAGTTGTCACCCAAACATTTTCAGTGATCCTTCTGAATAACCTCCTGCAGCCACTCCTGAAGATGGGAACATGTTTTATTGACTAGAGGTCTGCCCACGTGACCGCGGAACAGGAAGTAAAACCACGTGAGGATGTTGTCCTGTCCATGCACCTCTTCCTCTGTCTCTGCTAACAAACCATGCACCTATTTAACACACTTAAGCTTGGTGGTTAGCATTAGTGAGATCTGGACCTCAGAGCTAAGTGGTAAACGCGCCACATGCCAAGTAAACCCCAAGCTGTGGGTCAACCTTGACCTGGAGGTCGACCTCGGGCTCGGCTGCTTGTGAAACACCGACCGATGCTAACAGCCGTCTACACATGGACACACACGGTTCCTTCCACAATGGCGGCAAATAACTTACTAAAGTATAGCCGGTAGTCGGGAGAATTCGGGTGTCCTCTCTGCTCCGTTTGATAGTGCATCGTTTTTCTCAGATAACACAGAAGAGGTGCTGCTTGTGTGACCACTTTACTGCGAGAGGCGGAGAAAGAGCCGAAACCTGTCACCAAGCAGCCCAGCGAGCAGCGCAGCAGCAGCGGTCTCATTATAGACGATTCTCCCGGTCCCGGTGGTTCCTGCTTCCCGTCCTCCTCCACACACACACACACTGGGGTAAAGTTACACGGAGGGAGGGCCGGGCTTCCGGTCAGGGGTTTTCAGAGTAAAAACATTCACAGCGTTATTCTGGGAAGATTATGAGTAATAAAAAAAAAACAAAGGCTGTAAACATATAGACATATATTGTAGGTAGATAATGCCTGGGTGATATTCGCAAAATCAGTTTTGATTGTAGTTGTGAGGGATCAAATGTAAAATAATAATAATAAAAAAGATGTATTGACATGGGCAGAAGAATGTGATTGGGAAATGAAATTAATGACAATATGTCACTGGCTTGTGTGTAAACTTCACTTTTTTGTGTGTTTTTAAGAGTGATTCTATAAGAAAGACTCCAGGCCATTTGGTTTAGGTGACAGGTATTGTTATTTTTTTGTTTGTTTTTTGAAGATTTTTTTTTTTTAATTTAAAAAGAGATTTGTCATTCATTTGGAACCATAAATACATCAACTTATCAGAAAGTTTAGTTAACATAGTTAAAAGTCTATAATGAATACCAACAAATATTTTGCACATATTCATTCATCTATTCATTCATTCTTCAAAAGATCTTCTACATATGGCAACATAAAAGTCCTGAATAGGGTTAATGGGCTGCTAAATAGGCTGCCATAAGTCACACGTTTTGCATGACTTTCACCTCTCTTTCAGCCATATACCTGATACCATTTTCAAAATCCCCTTTACTACATGACACAGCAACAATCGATGGGCAGTAACCTGCTATGCTGAAAATTGCAAGTTTTGCAGCCCTGGCAGCTTTGTCTTATTTTTTTTTCTTGGAATTAGCCATTGCAATCACAGTGCTCAGCTCTCTGCATGAAGATCATCCACCAAACTGTCCCCAGACACTATTTTGAGGCGATGCTGCTGCATTATTTCTTTAGCTCAGTTTAGCATGACTGTGATTGGGTTAAAGGAATGCAAACAGAGCGTTTCTTCCCCTATAGCAGAGCGATGGTGAGGTGCAGTCAAACCATTCTGAATACAGGATGGTCTGACTATGAGATACTTTAGGCTGCTTAGCTGCTTGCAAGTTCCTTTTATTGTGCTTTTATTCTTTTTAAAGGAAAGTCGTTTTTTTAACCGGATATTATTTCTGTCACCTTAACTTGACGTTTCCTGTTTCATGTGTAGCAACTTCATTGTACTGCCACCTAGCTTTCTTTCCAGTATCTCTCGGGCGTTTTCCAGCATTAAAACTGCAAAAAATAATGCAGAAAAACAACAACAACAACAACAACAGAAAAACACAATAATCTCAGTTGATGACTCTTACCTTTTGTTCTTGTCTTGTCTGTTCTTTCTTGGTGTCACTGTTTATTCAAAGCTGCAATACAACATCTTGTATGGTGTGTATGTATGTATGAAGAATTGATAATTATGATCTAACTTGGTCTATCTAGGTAGAAAACAAGAAGAAAAACAGACACAACATATTTCTCTAATCATGCCAATGCACACCAGGCTTCTAATATATTCAACAGTAAGTGGAGAATTGAGCGGTTTTGTCGTTCTTTCCTGTCACCCTCTCTTTTTTCTTCTTATATGATGTTTTACGACCTGAAGCGAATGGATTCGACGGCGGTAAACTCCACAAACATCGTGAGATCAAAGTCCATATGCATCCATTGTGCCATAAACAAACACCCACCCTAGCCACCTTGATGTAGCTCTTTTATTATTGTATATGCTGATCTCTGTTCAAACAAAGGACACATCAGCTGCCATAAAAAAGCTGCTTTATTAAAATCTTTAACTGCTTTGTTTTTGATTCGGTTGCCAAAGGGCTTTAATTCTGCTGTGTACAGCCTCTCAGGTCAAAGTACGATGACAGTGGAGAGATGTGGATTTGGATGTTGTAGCAAAATTACAATGAGAGATTGTGGAAATATTTCCAGAAAACATAGATGTCCAGTATTTGATAACTTCTGTACAGATTTAGGATGAAAATTTTTTGGGGGGAGGGGACCAAATAAGAATGAATGGAGATGCAGTGTCAGTCAATAGTCACTTTCATGGCTTAATCAACAGACATTTAAATGACAAATTTTGGGATATTTGATGAACAAATCTGTCATTAGTTGGATATGTTGGAGTGTTTTTCCCTTGGCTGTGAATTCTCTCTTTCAGCAGGTCAAGGGGAGCCACACCCCGAGGGACCTGATCTCAGACAAACCCCCTCAGGGCAAAGCAATTAACACTGTCATGCTGACAGCTTGCAGGAGATAACACTGTTTACTCACTCATATGTTTGTATACAACATGTGGTTGTTTAGCATAGTTTACTTTACCAAACCCACTGGGTTGCGTAACACTGCCAACACTGACGTCGGCTGTGTTTGACCACAGTTTAACTGTGCATGTTTGACAGTGAAGACAGTAAATAAACGTTCGGCTCTTGTATGGTGTCCACGTATGTGCAACAGTGTCGTTTTGTTATCACACCATAGGAATTTATGCAAAACATTGAATGGATGTTGCCTGTATCTCAATTACAAGCAATATGGATTCTATTCATGGTTAATATTTACCTCAGCCAGATCACATTTATCAATAAAATCCCCACTTGTTTTTGTAATAAAACGTCATATTTGTAAGACCTGGTGTAAGACATGATGAAATAAATCATCTTTTGATAGAAGGTATTCTTAAAAACACTAATTTAGGGATCTTCTAGCTGCGAGGCGATGGTGCTAACCACCGAGCCACCTTGCAGCCCCATATTTAAACATTTAGCGTTCAAGTCCAGGACCATTTAAGGAAAAACATCTGTGAAATAGCAGCAGCAACAACTGTAGAGACGAAGGCACTAATGTTAGACAATCATCGGTTTTTCACATCGGCTAAATTTGTTCATCGAACCGATACTGATAAATTGGAAAAAACATTAATATCGTCCGATACCGATGTGGTCGCCGATGTATCATGCGTCCCTAGTCAAGTAAAAGTCAAAGTCAAAGTTACTTTGTTGTCAGTTCTGCTACACACAAAGTTAAAAAATAAATATACACAGTCTAAACTTATAATAAGCTACAAAATATACAGAAATAAACAACCTTAACATATGAAAAATAAACACAAAAGAGAACAGAAGATAATAGATACCTATTGTTTTTATTCATTTTCTGTTGCTGTTGTTGTTTTTTGTCTTATTTTCCAATGACAAACCCCAAAAAAATAAACACACAAAAAAAAGGCGAAGCTCTAAACACCACACGAGGGACGGAGTTGGACAGTGTTTGTGTTACCAGTACATTCAGTGTCTACACTGTTTCTTTCTGTCCTTCCTGGGTTCACACCTCTCACAGCTCCTCCTATTGTTGCCACTTTCTGCAACCCAGAGAAGCAAAACTGAAATACACACACATGCAACAACACACACTTACCTCACATTCTGGAGTTGGTGATGGGCAGATGGGGCATTTGCATCCTTCTCCTGAATGCGCATCACAGTGGAAGGAGAGGTTATCTTTTGACCAAGTCCTTGGCCAGATTCCCAAGAAAACACTGTCTTATACGCAGCTCTCAACCAATCCATTCTGATTTTGGAAACAAATAATATGAATTTTTGTGGAAAAAGTGCATGTGTGAGTGCAGAGGTGGGTATGTTTTGGTTGAGATGATGTGAATGTGGGGTAACACGCTTCAAATGTTGTTTATTTATTGTCTATTTTTTTACCAAATGTTCCTGGACTCACCTACAGTTTCCAGACTTTTATTATCCTCGGGTCTAGCGGACCTGAACAACTAATATAAATGTGAGATTGCTCTCCCATGGGAGGAGGCGCTGCAGGCTGCCTATGAGCAGCAACAAACAAAGCATTTTGACCTGGCTGCTGAGTGCAGAGGAGCTGGCTGGAGGGTGGTTACGTACCCTGTGGAGGTGATGCCAGGGCTTTGTCAGCTCCTCAACCTTTTGACTGCTTCGCAACATTGGTGTCAGAGGAGCAGAACATGGACAAGTTGCGAAAGAGCCGACTGTGGAGGCAGAAAAAAAAGGCAGTTTCTTGGTTGTGGCTGATGGAGGAGGCACGGGAGCCGAGAGCTGAGCAACACCTGGGGCATTTACAGATGGTGGAAGGGAGAATTTTCTGCCACCACGAGATGTACTGGGGTTAAAAGAGCAAAACATTAATGACTGGTGGTCCGCAGCTGACCTAGCCCGGCCTCTAAGGGTGTTTGGTCTGGCTTTCTATAGGTGGAGGCTGTGGGGTCGGCAGACTGGTCATGGTCGAGGTCAAGGTAATCTTAATTATACTCCAGGGGCAGTTTGCAAAGCAAGTCGTACATACAATTATCATTAACAATCAACACACGTGCAATTCACACACATAAAACTGAATTGCATCCTGTTGTTCCAGAGGGTAAATAGCAGCAGGGACAAATGAGTGCCTAAATCTATTGGTGCTCCGCTTGACCAGAGTATATCTGCAACCAGATGGAAACAAGGTGAACTCTCACTTGGATCAGCAGGGACCGACTGAGCCTTCTTTATGACAGTTGGAAAAGGTCATTTAGACTTGTGCCTCCTATTTTGCTTCCCATTCAACACTTTCTTTCAACCTGGTAAGGTAAGTGACCCAAACCAGCAAATAAAAGAGAAGGTTCGAACAGACAAAAAGAATGACACATGCTTATAAAATTGGTCTCAGACAAAAGCTCTGACACAGATTGGCCTTTGCACATCAGAATTTGGTTCAAAGGTTAACTTATCATCAGTTATTGTGCCCAGATTCTTGTACTGTTGAACACCTTTAACCGCTTGGCCATAAATAGCTAAAGGAAGAACAGGGGGGTGCTTCTTCCTGATGTCATTTCTCCTTTTTGTTTGTTTTAGATATATTTATGACCCAAAAGGGGTGTTTACACCAGTCACTATGTTCATTCACCGTTGGACCATGACCTGTATTGCAGACAGGGAAATGGGTTGTGTGCACTCGATCAAAATATTTGTTTTAACATGTTGAAGCCAGTGAATCTGAGGTTGAAAAATGATGAACTGAACCATTTTCTTTAGCTAAAAAATAAAAGTTAATCGCAAACGCCGTAACTGTACTCAGGCGTTAATAGTTAAATTCTCGTTGTTGTTTTTGTCAAGTTCTTCCACCACTGATGATGATAAGGATGGTGGCACTATGAGGTGCTAAAAATATACCGGTCCATGAAATGATCGGGTGACACATTGTTGTCATCTTCTATTTGTGTGCAGGTTGTCTAATAGAAGTTAAACAGGTTTTCTCCACTGATCTGAAAAGACAATGGGAACCAATATTGCCTGTGTTTCAATGGGGAAGAACTGAACTCATTCATTGTTCTGACACACAGTAGTTGCTATGATCACAAATTACTGTGGAAGCATGTGTGTTGATGAACTATTTGTCTTCCCAGATTTGACATTTTATATCTACATATTCATTTCTTTTATCAAAGACTTGTGGAACCTGTTTACTGCATGTAGAATTAACTCAACTAAACTTCTTGAAAGTTTAGCTTTTTTTCCTTCAGTTAAAGAGCACTATTGTGTGGCACTAGCATTATTGTGTCAACAAAAAGCTCCCTGCATTGCCATTTATGATTTACAGCCAGGCCATTTACACGTGCACTTCCTTGTCAATATTTGGTTAAGTGTTGGTGTCTCTGATGCTTTTAGTTTTGAGGACATTTCATTTTAAGGGCAAAGGGAAAACTTTAGAACTTCGTGATCATTTCTTTGTCTTCACCTCTTCCAGAGAGAAAGTGTGTCTCATCACATTTTCTCCCTGCATGGATATGATGGCCTAAAGGGAAGAAACATAGCACTGCAGTGGAGAGGTGTGGCCATATAGTTCTCATGACAGGTAGACACGGGGAGGAGCTGCGTTACCTGTGCAGAGCCAGGCAGTGAGGGCACAGGGAACAGAACACCTGTTGCACTTCCCAGGCTCTCTCTTTTTGTTTCTCCCTCCCTTTTCTCGTCCTTCTTCCTTTCCCTCTGTTCTCCTTCACTGCTCTAAAAAGCACAAGGGAGCTACCCGCCTCACCATGGATCCAAAGGAGGCCAGCGGGAGCGAGAAGGAGAAAGAGAAGGACAAGACGATAAAAAGGAGGAACCGGCCTGTGTTCCTGCGTTACCTGGAGAGGAGAAAGACGGACACTATTGTAGCTGAAGACATGGCCAAAGGTGACATCAACCTGGGGACGCTGGTGAGGAGGAGTCAGTCTGACAAGACGGAGTACAGCGCTAAACTTAAAGGTACAGCAGTTAATGATGTCCCTATAGGGGTCAAACTATGGCAACCTTCTACACACACATGAGCCACCGCTTACTCTGAAAAATATCTCACTTCTCTACTCTGCAAACTTGTTGACACACAGTGGGTAACTTTTAGACAAATCTATCCACTATGGATGAGCTGTAAGTCCACCATCTATAGCTTGAGGGCAAAAATTCAACACACACACACACACACACACAGAGTAAGAATGCACCGCCCCATACTGGGCACCTGTTGTGTTACTATGTGTTGAGTAGGAGATACTCCCACAGGGATANAACTGTCTCTACACAGCATGTCTTCTCATAGGTCACCAGATTAACCAAAGTACACTGCTCAAAAAAAATGAAGGGAACACTAAAAAAACACATCCTAGATCTCAATGAATGAAATATTCCAGTTGAAAAACTTTATTCATTACATTGTAGAATGCATTGAGAACAAAATAACATAAAAATGATCAATGTAAATCAAAATTATTATCCCATGGAGGTCTGGATTCAGAATCATGCTCAAAATAAAAGTGGAAAAATCATATTACAGGCTGATCCAACTTCAGTGGAAATTCCTCTAGACAAGTCCAAAATGAGGTTCAGTAGTCTGTGTGGCCTCCGCGTGCCTGTATGACCTCCCTACAACGCCTGGGCATGCTCCTGATGAGGCAGGATGTTCTCCTGAGAGATCTCCTCCCAGACCTGGATTAAAGCATCAGTCAACTCCTGGACATTCTGTGGTGCAACGTGGCATTGGTGATGTCCCAGATGGATTCAGGTCTGGGGAACGGGCAGGCCAGTCCATAGCATCAATGCCTTCATCATGCAGGAACTGCTGATACACTTCATCCACATTAGACCGACCACTGTCATGCATCAGAAGGAACCCAGGGCCCACTGCACCAGCATATGGTCTCACAATGGGTCTGAGGATCTCATCCCAGTACCTAATGGCAGTCAGGGTACCTCTGGCTAGTGCATGGAGGGCTGTGCTGCCCTTCAAAGAAATGCCTCCCCACACCATTACTGACCCACCAAACCGGTCCTGCTGGAGGATGCTGCAGGCAGCAGAACGTTCTCCACAGCGTCTCCAGACTCGGTCACGTCCATCACATGTGCTCAGTGTGAACCTGCTCTCATCCGTGAAGAGCACAGGGTGGCAATGGCAAATCTGCCAGTCTTGGTGTTCTCTGGCAAATGCCAATCGTCCTGCACAGTGTTGGGCTGTAAGCACAAGCCCCACTGGTGGACGTCGGGTCCTCATACCACCTCATGGAGTCTGTTTCTGACAGTTTGAGCAGAAACATGCATATTAGTGGCTGACTGGAGGTCATTCTGCAGGGCTCTGGCAGTGCTCCTCCTGTTCCTCCTTGCACAAAGGAGGAGGTAGCAGTCATGCTGCTGGGTTGTTGTCCTCCTACAGCCCCCTCCACATCTCCTGGTGTACAGCCAGTGTCCTGGTATCTCCTTCATGCTCTGGACACTGTGCTGAGAGACACAGCAAACCTTCCTGCAACAGCTCACATTGATGTGCTGTGAGCTGCACTACCTGAGCTACTTCTGTGGGCTGTAGACACCACCTCCTGCTACCTCTAGGGGTGAGAGCACTGACAAAATGCAGAAGTTACCAAAATATTAGCCAGAAAGGATGAGAACAGAGACATGATCTGTGGTCACCACCTGCAGAACCACTCCTTTAAAGAGGCTGTCATGCTGATTGCCTCTCATTTCCACCTGTTGTTCGTTCCATTTGCACAACAGCAGGTGAAAGTGATTCACAATCAGTGTTGCTTCCTAACTGGACAGGTTGGTTTCGCAGAAGTGTGACTGACTTGGAGTTACATTGTGTTGTTTAGGTGTTCCCTTTATTTTTTTGAGCAGTGTACTACCTTTGTATTAAGCCTGTTTCAGAGACACACTACGTTCCTGTTAATCCGCTGGCAACTAAATGTGTCCGATTCATGTCTGAATGTGCAGCATGATGACGTTTCCTTATAAGTTAAGACAGCAATCCTACTAAATTGGACCCAGTAACATTTTTTTTTTAAAATCACTTTTGACATGGCTGCACCCAGTCACATGAATGGATAGGACAGCAACAGCAACTCCATCATTTACTTATTGTAAATGATGCCCTACATCAAACGCGAATCATGTTCTTTTTTACATTAGACAAGTGCGCTGTCACAGTCACAGTTCAGTGCGTTGCTTTCCACTGTTTTTAGGAGTCTTTCCTCTGAGTTTCTGCAAAGACTGGTGCATGCAAGGGGCAACAGTAGTAACTTAGATTATCGTCACACATGGACAGGATTTCCAACGTGCAGGAAATAATAAATAAACAGAACTGTTAGTTAAATGGACACGTTGATATGCTGCTATTAGTTTAGATTTAGTCTTTTGTTTGTCATTGCTTTATCATGTATTATACATTACTTGGTGTATTGTCTAATCTTGCGTGAATGACAAATATCACATGGCGCTATCTCTGGCACTGTGTCTGAATGAAGCCATGAGGAACTATAACAGGTAAGCGACCTTTGTCTGAATGACAGAATGTGGTTACTTTAACAAACTGATGACGCCAGGAGTGTAACATATATAATGTCTGAGAAGAGCTTTAGTCAGTGCACTTGGATATGCAATAACTGTAAAATAAGAATCCAAAGTTTATCAGAGTGAAATATTTTAACTCTATTTACATAATTTTCAAATACTCTCAATTCTACAACAATGTAACAGACTTCCGGTAATGCAGGTATGACGTTTGGTGTTTAGTTGTCACCCAAACATTTTCAGTGATCCTTCTGAATAACCTCCTGCAGCCACTCCTGAAGATGGGAACATGTTTTATTGACTAGAGGTCTGCCCACGTGACCGCGGAACAGGAAGTAAAACCACGTGAGGATGTTGTCCTGTCCATGCACCTCTTCCTCTGTCTCTGCTATCAAACCATGCACCTATTTAACACACTTAAGCTTGGTGGTTAGCATTAGTGAGATCTGGACCTCAGAGCTAAGTGGTAAACGCGCCACATGCCAAGTAAAACCCAAGCTGTGGGTCAACCTTGACCTGGAGGTCGACCTCGGGCTCGGCTGCTTGTGAAACACCGACCGATGCTAACAGCCGTCTACACATGGACACACACGGTTCCTTCCACAATGGCGGCAAATAACTTACTAAAGTATAGCCGGTAGTCGGGAGAATTCGGGTGTCCTCTCTGCTCCGTTTGATAGTGCATCGTTTTTCTCAGATAACACAGAAGAGGTGCTGCTTGTGTGACCACTTTACTGCGAGAGGCGGAGAAAGAGCCGAAACCTGTCACCAAGCAGCCCAGCGAGCAGCGCAGCAGCAGCGGTCTCATTATAGACGATTCTCCCGGTCCCGGTGGTTCCTGCTTCCCGTCCTCCTCCACACACACACACACACTGGAGTAAAGTTACACGGAGGGAGGGCAGGGTTTCCGGTCAGGGGTTTTCAGAGTAAAAGCATTCACGGCGTTATTCTGGGAAGATTATGAGTAACAAAAAGAAAAGACTGTAAACATAATGACATATATTATAGGTAGATAATGCCTGGGTGATATTCGCAAAATCAGTTTTGATTGTAGTTGTGAGGGATCAAATGTAAAATAATAATAATAAAAAAGATGTATTGACATGGGCAGAAGAATGTGATTGGGAAGTGAAATTAATGACAATATGTCACTGGCTTGTGTGTAAACTTCACTTTTTTGTGTGTTTTTAAGAGTGATTCTATAAGAAAGACTCCAGGCCATTTGGTTTAGGTGACAGGTATTGTTATTTTTTTGTTTGTTTTTTGAAGATTTTTTTTTTTTAATTTAAAAAGAGATTTGTCATTCATTTGGAACCATAAATACATCAACTTATCAGAAAGTTTAGTTAACATAGTTAAAAGTCTATAATGAATACCAACAAATATTTTGCACATATTCATTCATCTATTCATTCATTCTTCAAAAGNACACACACACACACACAGAGTAAGAATGCACCGCCCCATACTGGGCACCTGTTGTGTTACTATGTGTTGAGTAGGAGATACTCCCACAGGGATAAAGCCACATATGCAAACTGTGCTCCAAACTCAGGCACAGAGGAGCGGCTTTAAAAAGTGTTCCACACCAGCTTGTAAACAAGACTTGACGCCAGAGATGTGTAGAGAAGGAACGTACAGGTTGTTTTTCATCATCAAGTTTATTAAAAGAGTTTTAAAATGTTGTAAGATGTTACAAGTCACTTTGTGTTTATAACATTTAAGCAAAGAATGGACAGTGTTTGACCATAGGCTCATAAGAAAACAGCTGCAAGGGGAAATGGGTTGTGAAAAAAAAGTCAGTCTGAATGAATGTTGCCTCATCACATCTGCTGACACGGTCTTTTCATACTAACACATATCCATGTTGCTGATAAACTGGATTCTCTTGTCCTCAGAGTGCAGTCATCGACTGAAAATGCTGCATTACCGGTAGAGGGACATAGGTTGTCGATTAAGGTTTACTATCAAAGATTAGCCAAAGAATGTAGGCTTTCCTGTACCATGGGTCTTCGGTGCATTAGTTCCTTGGTTTCATCTCCAGTGAAGCAAACACACCGCGTGCCAATGACTAATGGCACATCACATTGTGCCACAATGAATAATAGCAGCAGGATTAAAGCAGAAAAGTATAACCTACTTCTCACAATAGATAGCTTTTACTCATACAAACACACGCTGGCCTTATCAGCTGCAGCTCTGTTTACCTGAAATAGAGCCACTCTCCAGTTCTTTGCACTTTCTGCTTTCTTGACCAACCTGCAGGCAGACAGAGTTGTCAAAAAACACTGCGTTGTTTTCAGTAAACCAATTACCCGCCCTTTTCGACTTTAGCCTCACACCTGACGGGCAGCATTACATATTTACAGTGGTATTAGCAATGCAAATATTGACAGAACGATGACTTCACTGAAAGAGGAAACATGTGAGCTGCTGCTCGACAGCCTGTTCTCATCTGCTTGTCAGACAGGTTGGTCAAGCCATAGAGCCATAGCAACATGACATCATCATGTGTAATTATTTGCAGCAGCGAAATATAATAGTTCTGATAAGGATTTACTAGCAAAAAGCACATAAATGGACAGTAAAGGATCATATATATTCTTATGTATTTATCTACTAACTAATCATGGGGCAAGTTATTTTGTTTATATTGTATGGAAACTCATTTATTCTTGCTGTGTGACCTTGATTAAAACATCCAAATGTGTAGGCTTTGTTGAAAATAAAATGAATTAGATTAATGGTAACAAACTGGATAAGGTTTCAGATTTTATTTTATTTTTTAAGTACAAGATATCTTCAGCCTCTCTTCAAATTCAGCATATTTTATCCAAAATATATTACCTGTATTCCTGAGTGACAACTTCTCATTGTGCTCTTTGCTGTGCAGCAAAGTCTAGCATGCCATTTCTCTTGATGGCGATACATGATACACCAGGCCTTGTATTCTTTCCGGGGCAGCCTGTTGGATCCCTTTCACTGGGCTGAACGGTGAAAAGGCCTGTATCCACTTTCATGGGAACTCCTGTGCCAGTAACCATACCTCACCAAACATAATGCCAGCAAAAGGATAAGTCAGCACAGTTTGAGATGTGCCACTGAGTCTCGATGGGTTATAATACACTTGTTAACATTGTGAATGTGTCCGGCCGGGTTTGAATGGGACACACAGAATCCAAAGTGATTTTCACAGAGTCGGCATGTCAGTGGCAACAAAGTAAAGTTGATAATATTAAAAAGAAACACGAGCAAGGTTTAAACTACAATGTCCTTCTGTCCTACAAGTCATCAAAATACATGACCTAATTCCTCATTAAGGGGACTTTTCTCACAGGTGGAGGTTTTCACATGTTCTGGGCTCCTTTTACACATGACACTTGATGATACTGTTGAAGGATGATTATTATATGATTTTTACATGACATATGACAAACAAGCACACTCACATTCACAATTTAGAATCACCAATTAACCCCAACATGTTTTTGGACCTTGTGGGAGGAAGCTGGAGAACCCGGAGAGAACCCACACTGCACTGGGAGAACATGCAAACTCCACGCAGAAAGATCCCGGGAGTCCTCACTGGGACATGAACCGGGAATCTTCTAGCTGTGAGGCAACAGTGTTAACCACTGTGCAGCACAACAACAACAACAACAATAGCAATGTTTATGCGATCATCTTTATTTAGCACATTTCAAGTGTTTGACAGATAAAGCAAATAAAAAAAGTAAATAAGAACAGAATCGAATATGTAACAAGACAAAATAATTTAATAAAATCTTGCACACATTTTGAAAATGATCACTGAGGAAAGAGGTAAATTATGAAAGTAAGTTTTAAGATGAGATTTAAAAAAGGACACTGAGTTTCTAGTACAAATGAGTAAGGCCCTGCTCGAGGATCTGAGGCAGTGATTAGACTCAAGGATCAATAAAATCATAAAAATCAGTTTTAAAGCTCATAGGTGGCAAGTGGAGGGAAACAAGAACTGGTGTAATGTGCCACTTATTTCAGTACATGAAGCTTGGTGGCCTTTAAATAGATTTAAAAGGTATTTATCCAAAGTGTCATTTAAATCACAAAACAGATGGTCATCTTCTTATTTCGGGATTTTCTTTTCTTCACAAATAATTAAAAGCTACTACGTTCATGTCAGTGTGCTGTGTACAGTCATACCCACCATGGTTTCACAATAGACATACTTTGATTTCACCTGTAAAAACTGTCTATCGATCATTACGAGGAGACACTATGTGGCCACCTATTTCAAGGAGCTTTAGTTTAGATAGTCAGAAAAGTGATGAATCATCACTGCAGATGTTAATTTCATCACTGTATCACAAGCGGGTAAAGTGAGGTACAACGGTACGCAGTGTTGCAGGCAGAATGCGATCAGATCTCTGCCAGAGTCACCCACGAGTGAGCACAATCTGCACAGAGCTCGCATTCATGACAAAGCACTGCCCACTGGACAGAAACACATGATCTATTCTACTTAGCTTCAACAATGGCCGTCCAGTGGATATTATACCTTTCTGTTTCTGCAGCTTTTAACTTATTCCTATTCCCATAAAAAAAAGTGCTGTTCAAAACCCAGAATTAAGGACAATCTGTACAGATAGGAGGTGCAAGCCTACACATTGCATCTTTTTTGGAAAAGGTGCAGCTAAATATCATGTAAAGAAGGTCTCAAAATACTTTGCACATGAAGACTAAGTTGAACTTTTTAGGGCAGGATCTTATGCATATTTATGCCTGTGTTTATGTGTGTGTAAAATGACTAACCTGAGGCAGATGGAGTAAATTTGTCTGCATGTGCACGTGTGACTGTGTGTGTGTGCACTTGTGTAAACCTGCTTTAGTGTGCATGTGTGCGTGTGTGTGCTTCAGTTTTGTAGGTGTGTCATTTTGTGCCACTGCCTCCCCCCCCACACACACACACACACAGACACACACTCCCAGTCTGAGCAGATGGGATGCCTGAGCACGCTGTAGAATTACATCAGCGTCGCGATTAGTTTCGTAACCTGACACAGGCCTCGCAGCCTTCTGTCTCCCCCCCTTCACCTCTCTCTCCCTTTTCATTGCTCTCTCTTCCCCCCCAGAGGAAGAAGCAGTGCGTGGCGTCGATTAGGCAGCAAGGAAGCATCCCTCTTCCCCGAGCAGACACTCCTGCCTGCCATGCAAAGCACAGAGCAGCCACAGACTGATTAGGCAGCAGAGCAATAAAAAACAGAGAAGTGAGCCTGACTGGCATGTTAAGTGAGGCCTTTTGGCATTCAAGTCAAAATAATTAGATCACCGTGAAATACCGAATGCTGCTCGGGCGTCACGAGGATGTGTTCGAGGAGATGTATGTTTTTTTTTTTTCAAAGAACGCACAGTCCGCACAGCTCGGGTGTTTACCAGGATTTTAGAAAACGTGCATGTGCCACAGATGGCCTGAAATGCTGCCAAAAACACAACATTTTCTGAAATTGCAATATTACAGCAAAAATATATCATCCGTTTTGCCTGACCTTGTGTAACCTGTATGACTTGTTAGGCCAGATGCCGTGTTGTGATTATATCAGATATTATTATATAGATTAGATTATATCAAGCTTGTTAGCATTGTTAATCTTTAGACTCATTTTTACCATTTTATCTTCAGAGAAAATGACACCTCATGACCTGTCCACACCCCCGTCTCCGGCCCTGGACCCGGAGGAGGCCCGTTTGAGAAAAATGAACCGCAGGGCAAAGGTCATTCAGGAGCTTGTGCAGACTGAAAAAGACTTCCTCACTGACCTGGAGCTGTGCATCAGGGAGGTGGTCCAACCTCTGAGAAATCTGCAGGTAGATGCTTTTTTAGGATCCTCACTGAAGTGTCTGATACACTAAATGTATAAACATCTACACACACAGCAACAGCAAAGAGAATAAGTTACTGAATGCTAATATTTTCTACAAATAAATCAAGTTGTAGAGTCTGGGGTTAAACCTCAAAACATTGATGTTCACATGTGTTGCTTCTTTATTTTGTGCATCTTTACCCACTTTATAAGATAATTCTCATCTGGTTGAACCTAATTTCTACACCTGCACATTGGTTTCTGGTAAATCATGAGAATTCAACAACATTTAGGGACACTTTACTGACACACTGGGTGCCAGGAACCTCCACTAGAATATGAAGACAATGTCAAGCCTAGAAGATAAATTATTAACACTCAGTATTTGTTTGAACAAAAAATCTGTTTAACTGACAAAAAAAATGCATTGTTATGTGATTCAATTAACATTGATTTGGACGTAAAATAGACCTGTTTCAAGCTCTTGTCCCCTTCTCTTTTGTCAGGTTGTGGATGTGGATCGACTGTTCACCAACATGGAGACAGTGTGTGAGGTCTCGGCAGCCCTCCTTCACAGACTGCATGCAGCCATGGCTGACCCTGATCCAGAAGCAGTCGTCATAGGTGAGGCTATTTAGACTCTTCACTCTTGATTGCCCAATTTCATACTTGCTGACTGTTGCTATTCTGGTCAGCACTCACTGAAAGGTCCTGTTTTTTGTTTTTTTTTAAAGGAGAAGTATTTATTCAGGCAAAGGCAGCTTTAGAAGATGTATATAAGATTTACTGTTACCATCACGACGATGCTAACATGTCGCTCAAATCCTACGAGAAAGAGGAAGAAATTAAGCAACATTTTACCACATGTGTATTAGCACTGAAGTAAGTCCAGTCACTTTCTGAAAATATTTTTCACATTATTTATAACTAAGTAACTCTAAAACATCCCTTTCTGCCTTTAATCATTGATATTTTTGACTTTTTTTGTACAGGAAAATCTATGACCAAGAGTAAGTATCAAAAGTAATCATTTGCACAAATGTTCTCATCATGTTTCTCATCATGTATTTAATACATTATGTTCTTATTTTCACAGAGGGAAACCTAATTTATTGGATATGGGTTCACTGCTCATCAAACCCGTCCAGAGGATCATGAAGTATCCGTTGCTGCTTGGGGAGCTGTGGCACGCCACACCCGAGGACCATCCAGACCATCGGCCGCTGCAGGAGGCGTTTACCGCTGCCAAGATCATAAATGTTAACATCAATGAGTTCAAGAGGCGCAAGGACATAGGTGTGATTCCATTTTATACTAACATATATGTGGGTATTTTATTACATTTGTGATTTTGCTACCTGTGAGCACAAAGTGGGTTTATTGTAAATTATCTATGCAAGCACAATTCTTACAGTGTTGGTTCTCTGTTCCTACTTGTTCTCAGTTATGAAGTACAAGAGGTTGGAGGACGAAGGCACACTGAGGGGCAAACTGAACAAGTTCAACATCCACTCTATTCGGAAGAAGGGAGACAGGTTTGCTGGTTATCTCAAGATCCTCACAGGAGTTGAACCACAGGTGAGAAAATAGTGACGATAAACTTTCCTACACTTATTTAATTTAAATAAATCATTGGCTTGTGTTTAAGCTGTGTCCCTGAACCCTTATTTCTGTAGGTGAGAGATGAAGTATTTGACAGAGAGGAGAAGCTATTCAGGAGTCTGGAGAAAGCTGTGAGGCAACTGGTCAAGAATGTTCACTGCTACCTGCAACACACTCAGGTGAGCACAGGATTCAGCTTCTCCCATGACAACATGTGTTTGGTTGAATGATTTTAATTATTCTTTCAGCTTTCTGAGGCTTTTTTTTTTTTTGCTCAATGACGTTTCTGCAGGAGATGGTGTCTGTAGCTGTTCAGAACGTGCAGGACATGGAGAACATCGTCAAGGATCCAAACAAAAATGGCACAAATGGTTCATCGCTTAATAATGGCAATGATCCCTATAAGCATTTTGTAAGTATGGCTTTTGTTGTACCTAACAACCGAATTGTTGGTGGTTTTATCCAGTGCATACTTTACTGTCCAGTTTTCTCCTCTTCCTTTTCTTTCCTAAATCTTCCGTATTTGTATCCGTCCTTGCTTTGACCTCCCATTCACCCTCCAACTGGGAGTCATCTGTCACTTTGCCCACAGCTACTTGTCCTCTGTCCGTTATATTAAAACCTCTCTTTCTCTGCCTCTAACCTTGCTGTTAGATTCCTCAGTTACCCCGCTGCATTCTCCTTTCTACCCTCTTCCCTCTGTGGACCGTACTGTCACCAATTCTGAGGTAACGTCTTTATTAGAATCTTTGTGTAGCACCTCTTCACTGCAGCATTTCAGCACTGCTTCAAACCAAACTCTGTAATGAGCTTTACAGAATGACAGTAGACATAAAAGCTTGTGTGCTCTACGAGGAAAAGCAACTCTGTCTTTTTGTGTAAGAGGTTTCATTTTTTTCCCCCTACAATCAAAACATGACAGCTCTAACGGATAGATGCTTTCGAGAAGCATAACATTTTCACCGAAGGAATGGTTCTTTTTACTTTATGTATGGGGCTACCCATTAGATGCATCCTGCTATAATAGATGAAGTCTGTTATGTCACCGTAAACAACATCCAGTTTGTCTGTATGCAAATTGGACAACAGCAGCTCTTTTGTTATGTTGAAGTATACTTTACCATCTCCACTTTAAGAAAAGTGTTGTGCATTAGAGATGCTATTGCATATTAAAAACAAGACATCTCATGTTTCATACATCACAAAAAGCCTTAAAAATACATTAAATTTCACTAAAAGTACCCGCTTACATGTGCAGAGTGCAAAATAAAGACTATGTAGGTTATGAAATAAGCAGACTAATCTTCATCTTTTATCATTTTTTTTTTCCCTCCAGAAAGACAGTATGGAGCACTTGGTCCTCGCCCCCCTCTCCTCCCTGCAGGGCATGTTCACAGCCCCACAGAAGCTCATCCAGAAACGTTATGACAAATTACTAGATTACTGCAGTCGCCTGGAGCGCTCTTCCTCTTTTTCATCCTCGTCATCCACAACGTCTTCCACTCCTTCGCTGGTTTCAGTAGACCCACCTGGTCCCGCTAGGAGAGACTACGAAGCTCTCAATGCTTTGCTAGTGGAGGAGTTGCAGAGGTTCAACATGGCCGCCTATACCATCCTGTCCAACAGCGTGGTGTATCTAGTGGACCTGCTCAGAGGGCTGATGAATAACATACTGGTTGGCGCTCCATCCATACAGCAGCTACCAGTGAGGATCCCACACATAACATCACATTATCAGACATAGTTTATTTTTAGTCTGATTAATATTGATATTCAATGTGTTGTGTTTGGCCTCTCAGGCTCCTCTGTCAAACATTGCTGAAGTGCAGAACAGCATCATGGATGAGCTGAACAATCTGACTTTCGTCAAGGATAATGCACAGAAGTTAATGGAGCGCAAAGTCAGCTTTGAGAGACAACGAGACAAGAAAACAGCGGTAAGAAAGTGGAAATGATCAAAAGCAGATTATTCACATCTGCAGACTAAAGGGGTCTCTTTATAGTCTGTAACATTTAAATGCTTGATCAGTTGTCTAAGCATCTGTAAACTTCTCATTGACAGCAGATTAAAACAAAAATTCCTCTGATTTTCAGAAAGTTTTTTGAAACGATGCCAAGCCGTGAATAAAAAGCTACTCGTCTTATCAAAGGCAGAAGAGAAAACAGCTCCAGGCTGTGATCAAGTAGTGCACTTGGCCACTAAATGTGTATCTATTCAGAAGTGTACATATTTAAATACACATCTGCACATGGTATTGCAGGTGACACTTAAACCACTGGGGTCCTATTACCCTCCCTAGAGCACCGTCATACACTGATAACTAACACCAGACCTACATATGCCTGCACACCATATACCCACTTCAAATATTTACACCAGCACTCCTTTGTGCTGCATGTGTTGTCCTCCAGATGCCGGAGGTGCAGCATCAGACGGAGGAACAGCGCACCTGGCTGCTGACAGAATACCCACTGAGCCGCCTGTACCAGCTGAAGAGGAAGTGTAATGGCTGCCAGGAGCAGGACCTCAGCCTGCTGGAGGGAGAGCTGGTGGCCCTGCTGGAGGACACAGACCCATTAGGCAGCAGCAGCCGCTGGCTGGTTCACACTGGAGGTAAGTTTGTGTGTGTGTATGTGCATAAGGAGAAGGACCCTCGAGGCAGAGGTAGCTTCATACTGTTAGGAAGACATACAAGGTGAATTGAGTTATCACACTAGATCATCTGCAGGTATGGTTTGCATAGGTCTCCTCTGACGCATATTCCTCTGTGAATACACCAGCATCTATTAGATGACTGGGGCCGTGTACACACACCAAACTTTACTTTCTGTCACTGACAAGTCAGCACACAAGAATTAGTCCCAGGAGCTCCTGTGATGTCATGGTTGCCGGTGCCTCTGGAGATGGTTGCCTCACAACAGGGCCAACTCCATAGCTTGTCTCTATCTCCCCTTTACGTCTAGCAGAGGCACCTGAGATCCCAGCGTCTTGTTTGGAACAAACCGCTGCACGTTGTAAGCAGTGTTACTTAGAGTACAAAGCCTTTTCCTCTGGGTATTCAGAAACAAGGATGGAGAGATTGCGCTTGTGCTCCTCTCTGTACTCTGCAATAACAAGTTCTTTTTTTTTTATGAGCGCTAGAAAAAAAAAAGAAAAAGTGCAGGTACGTTTCTTGGTACGAAGTACATTCTTCACAGACCCCTCTTCTCCTCTGGGATAAAAAGCATTCCCAGGAAGTTGTTGCGCGTCCCTCTGTTTATATCAACACCATGAATATGCTTGCCTCATATTTACACACTCTTCATTCAGTCGCTGTAACTGGATTTAAGATTGTGTAAGAAGACGGTCTAGCCTCTAACTGAAATGTTTAGAGACTCAGTGGGAGACATGCAGTCCCATATATTAAGATCTCACATGTATGTCTTAGAAATAAAGTCTTATTACGCTTTTTAAAATGTATTTTTTACAATTACTGTTAGACAAAGGGTTCATTCCCTCAAATTACAGGAGAGCATGCTCTCAATAACACTATCCAGCCATGGAGATAGTTTGAGTTTTTTCCCCAGGTGTTGACATGCATTTCACTCCAACATGATGAGTTTTTCATGTGATACCTTAAAAAACTGTATGAAAAAGTCTAAAGCATTTTGCTACTTCCTCAAATAATCCAGCGATGGTTGACACTGTGTTCTGTGGATCATCAAAATTAGTACTGTTTGTGAATAAAGATGCTGAGTTAAAGCAAACGAAATCACATTTAGCAGAACAATCTGCAAGGCTAGACACAGGAGTAAAGTGAGATTTTTAAAACTACAATTTGGGCGAATCAATCCTTTGAAATCGACTCAGAGGTCAGGCATCCTGACAAACTGTCCCCGTGTGTCTCCGTTAGGTACACAAGGCTACGTCTACTCCACATTCCTGAAGCAGTACAACCCTCTGAGGGACTCACAGCGAGCAGGCCAGATGGCGAAAGAGCAGCAACAGCAGCAGCCACCTGCCATGGTGGATGAGGACTTTGATGATCTGAGTCTGTTCGTGTCGGGAAGTGGCAGCAGCAGCCTGCGCAGCTTCAACCTCAACACCACTGACAGTAGCTCAACGCTGTCCGGTCTACAGGGGGAGCTGGAGAGCGCCGATGACCTGGAGGACACACTGGACACAGAGGCTCAGCAGGTGTGTATAGTGTCCTGAAGTTATATCAAAACTGATCTTGCACCATATGGATGTCATTTTAACATATTGCATTGCTTAGCATTATGGAGGGTGGAAAAAAAAACCTGGTTTACGGGACAGAACAGTTAAGGTCATAGGGATTAACGTCCTTTCCAAGTTTCTGCAAAAGGTCAAGTTATAGAATGATTGCAGATAATGTGTGTATGAACAAACAAACATTTTCACAACATTTGAAATAAACTTGTCAGAAAGTTGGGGAAAAAAAACAAAAAAACAAGCCGAAACTCAACAAATCACACATCACATAAACCTTGTAATTACAAAAATATAAAGGCTCAGCAAACCATGTAACTTTAAATGGGTTTTCAGAGCCAGAAGAGAGTCCATCTATAAAACATGAATTATTAGAGAGAGGCAGTAAAATAAAGTCGCACTGGTATATGGACTGGATCAGTAAGAGATGCGTCATTGTAAAAAAACACATTTGATAACTTTACAGTGTCTGTCTAGCTTGCATTAAAACTAAATGGATTGGATAACATCACATGGTGGTGGCTCTGCTCTCTGTCCCTGGGCTTTGTTTTCCTTGACACTATGTCTCCATCTGCTATGACTAATACGCCTGATTTTCATCATGGCACAACTCCGTTACTGGTCTGAAAATACAATGTGCTGACAAGGGTCACTAGGTTGTAACCGATGACAATTAGTACTGATATTAACTTTTTATCCTGGTAGAAAGCTGACTAACAGTGCCACCTTCTGGATTTACAGGAGGACACACAATATTACTGATGTGTTTGTTTTTAGAGTGAAAATGAACACCTCAAAAGTGCTTTTGTTTGAATCTGTTTGACTACATATCGGTTGTGTGTGTTTTTTTTCACAGTTTTATGCCGTGTACGCATTTCAAGCCCGCTGTGACCAAGAGTTGACCTTGCAGGAGTACCAGCATGTCCGCATCCTTCAGTTCTGTGACCTGGGAGGCAATAAGGAATGGTGGCTAGCTGAGGCTAATGGACAAAAGGGATATGTCCCTGCCAACTACCTTGGCAGGATGTCCTATGCATAAATAGAGGGCTTCTATTTATGTGTAAGGCATTTAGAAAACAAAATGCAACAATGGAGAAAAAAAAACAAAAACTTGTGATTTTGAGCTTCAAAGTTCACTCTTAAACTTTTCATCTTACTTTTCAATCTTATGTTGGAGCTGATTTTCCTGACAGTAAAACACATGTTACATTTCTGCTTTGTGAATATCCAAACTGCACTAAGTATCACTCGGTGTTAGTGTCAGTTGCCTTACACCATAAGTATTGATGTCAAGTCTGCTTTAACTTCAGGATCTCATTAAGAGAGCTGCCCAGTGGGACTTGACCAATAATCTGTGATGAATATGGATACATATATAACAACACAGGGCACTGTGCTGAGCACTTTTGTATTTCAGTGTTGTCGAGTTTATATTGATAATGAAGTAATTCAACGATGAAGTACATTTATATGTGAAGTGATTTATAGATGAAGTGTGTACTATATGTGAAAAGATTTATACGCAAAGTATGTTTTATGTCCATTCAATGAAGAAATTTATGTCATGATTTACATTTTTATCAATGACAACATGAATAAAAAAGAACTTTATGATTTTACTAATGTGGTCCATTCTCTCTTTGTGCAGACGGTTCAGATTTAAGACACACTACTTGCTACAAGTCACTGAAATCGCCAGTTTGTAAGAAGAGGATATTTAATGACATTTGTTGATAAAAAGTGACACTTCTTTCACTGGTTAGATTTGTTAGGACAGAACGAGGCACACAGAGTCCAGCAGCATTTACACAAAGTAAAATTCAAGTATTTGACTGGATGGTGTTGCTCCATGTACAGACGCTCTTGAAATACAAACATGATGCTCTGGCACTACATCCACATCGAGCGTTTATTTTCTACTCCCTCACACGTCCTCCTCTTACTCGATCCTCTCTACCTCTACTCATTTCTTTAGTTTCTTCTGCGCTGCTTTCTTCTTCACAAGTTGTAACCGTTTCATGGCGTTAAGCTGGGACTCTTGAGACGTCGGTGCTTTGTCCCCTGCTGCTGCCTTTGACCCATTACCATTGTTCCCGTTACCTCCTCCGTTATTGCCTCCATTCCCTCCAGCGCTTGTCTGGGAGCTGCCGGGGGATCCGGCCCCTGACGAAGCAGAGCCTTTCCCTTGGCCTTCACTGCTTGATGAACGGTTTAGCGGCTGCTTACCCAGAGTCAGAGGAGGAGGAGGTTTCAGATTTACCTGGCTGGAGCCATTTCCATTGTTGCTGCCAGCTATCTTTGCGCCCCCAAGTCCTGATTTGGCTCCAGCTAGCCCAGACAACCCGACAGGTTTCTGACTGGAAGGAGTTGTCAAAGTCTTGCTGCTCCCACTTGGGCCTGAGGAACCCAGTTTGGAGCTTGCAGGAAGAGATGGGCTTGTTTTGGCGCCAAATGCAGCCCAGCCTGTAAGCCCGCTGCCTGAGGAGGAGGAGCCGCTGCCGGTGGGATTGGCTGATGTGGTAGGTGGCTGCATGAAATGGAAAACAGCACCACAATTATTGGAGCGCGACACAAATTCGACAGATGCTAAATGTTGTTGTTATACTACAGTAATAACCGCAATAATGGCTTTTAATGTTTTAAAATTGAGACCTTAGCAAGACACCAATATTTCTGATGGCAAACATCAACAAAAACAATTGTAGTTTTTATTATTGCAATATATTTAATGAGGCCTATGAAAAAAATTGTACCAAACACTTTACAAGTTGGGAGTTTCTGGTGTGCCTTTCTCAAGATCAGGGTATTACTCTGCAGGCATTTCAAAGATAAGGTAAACAAGGTACATTTTGTTATTAACTGAAGCTTATTTATCACTTCAGGAGGGACAATCCATCTGTGGTGGATATCACATGAAATGTTCAGTGCATTACCTGATTTATTGGTGTTATATTAAAGTGTACTCACCTCCACTCTACTTGCAATACCTAAAATTACTACGGCGGCTCAACCTTTCTGCTTTCAATCAAATTATGTCTGCACAGGTATTAGTGAAGTTAGATGGCAATTTAGTGTGTGAAAAGATTCTGTAAAATGAAAAAGACCTAGAAATGTAAGATACATTTACCGGCATCACTTAAGAGCTTTGCTCACAGTTTCGGATTCAAAGTTCCTCTTATCAGAGACCTCACTGTTAAAGGTAATCTGACTTATAAGCAGGAAATAACTTCTAGCTCTGGTTTCTTACAAGCCATGTTACATGTTGCAACAGTCATTATTCAGCCATGTTACCCACAAATTAGACAGTGCCTTCACCTCCTTACTTATGCAATAATTACACAGCAGGCGAACAAAACTCTCACTCCCAGTGCAAAAAGTATTAACAACAATCTGTCGCTGCAAAGCAACATGTCTGCCGTCAGAATAACTCTATGGTGAACTCAAAGTATAGGTCCTCTGAAAAGTTTCATATGTGTTTCCTCTGGAGGAATAACACTACAATGGAACACTTTCTCAGTAGCAAGTCAGGGTTCTGATCTTTGAAAATAAACGTATACTTTCTGCTCATGCTCTTCTGCAGGGATTAATGCAGATTGCCTTTTACAGTAGTTTTGCACACTGACAGCAATTATTGTTCTCTTATTTCCCACTAATCATAAATTAAAGGTGTACAATCATAGGTTTTGTTTGGGTTGGGGGTGATGCAGGAGTACATATGAAACACAACAGATGACTGTGCATTAGTCAAAAAACGGGCAAAAACGTTAACTGTTCACATTCTCAACTAAATTTCCCAGCCATAACACATACCTTCACTTCTGTTCTTTTGAATGCTTGGAAGGTGCTGGTTGTGTCAGTTTTGGGTTTAAGCTCCGTCTTTTTCACCAGCGTGTCTTTAACAACAGGTGCAGATGATACCGATGCAGGCGACGGCTTCTGTGGAGGTTTCTGGGCCTTGCGGACAAAGAAAAACAGTTTTATAAAAAACAAAACAAAAACAAAAAAAAACAGTAACAACAACAACAACACCGTGACCAATGACCATCACTATGGATCAGTCACTTAAGACAATGTAGATGTTCTGCAAGTAACTACAATATTGGAATATTGAAAGATTATTTATTTTCCTCACCATACGTTTCATTTGCCTGGTGCAGCGGGCACAATACCAGACAAGCCGTGGGTCATTTACTTCTTTGTCTGTCACCTGAGGCTTGTGACAGTCCTGGTGGTACAAATTATGGCACTCCTGGCACTCTACCAACTGGTTTCCCATGGTCACTGTCATTTGTCTTAATTAAAAACACAACAAGGAAGTGAACATATGAATAGAACGCATAATAGGTAAATTACCAAGTTTAACTGTATAAACCAGAAGACTGAATAGCATGGAATATGTACGAATATCCTGAAGCTTATGCATTACAGAACAATTAGATTAACTTAACATACGAATAATTAACATGTACCTGCAAACCACACAAGCCAGGCCCATTTCCATGGCAAAGTCATCGGCATTAGTCTCATCATCATTTATGTTTGGCAGGAGGTCTTTGCTTGTCTGAACAGTAATTGGAGAAGAACGATTCTCCTGTTTCTCCAAACGTGGCTTTTTCGGAGGGTCCACCTCACCCAAGTCAACCCGGACCTGTTTTTCAGGAAGACAGAATGAGGTCAGTTTGTACAAAGGCATCAGCACCTAACAACACATTCAAATTTTATTTTCTTTTGTTAATGCTTGTAGTCCTACATGGAATAATCTCTGGACTCTAATTTCCCCATGGTGTAATCACCACGGACATCAACTGCATTAATCTGCTTAGTCTGTCTGGCTGGAGAGTACAGCTTTACAATATAGTGTTCTTGGTCTAAAAAAAACTATTTAATTTCAAAATGTAAGCATTACCGTAATTTTAAACTGAGAGATGTATACGTATATGTTACATACAATCATGTAAATGTGATCATGAGTTTCACAATTTATATCGTACTACTTCAAAAGCAAACATGTTCTCACAGGCAGCCAGCTGGACATTAATAACAAAAGAAATATTTAGGGTAACCTCAAAGACAGTTACTTGCTTGTTGTAGTCCTGAATTAATTTGTGAGCTTCCAGTTTTCCCCAATACAATTTAACTAAAAGGTTTGGCCTGTAGCACAATGAATGTGCTAATGTGCAATAAAATATTGGATACTGCATTAAAGTGCCAAGTCTCTGTTTTAATTTGAATAAGTTGAAATCAATACAAAAACCTCTGTGGTGGATATAACTCTTTTAACGCCCAGCGTCCAAAGTTTAGGGGTCCAGAAGTAATTGGCAGACACAGGCAAAGTCAAACTAAATCATTATATTGAATATTTTGAGGAAAATCCTTTACAGTCAAACACTGCCTGAGGTCTTAGAGCCATAGATATCACCAGATGCTTTGTATCTTTCCAGGTCTTTACTGCCGTGACTTCCACCTCTTGCTTGTTGTGGGGTCTCTCTACCTCTATTTTGGTCTGTAGCAAGTTTACTGTGGCTTAATTGGACTGTGATCAAGTGTTTGAATCAGCCAGTCAAGGATACTCTACCTCTTCACCCTCAAAAGCTCTTTGAGCGCTTTGGCTGTATGTTTACCATCATCATGATCCTGCTGACTGATAAAATGCCATTCCATTATCTTTTGATGTATTTTGCTGAATCTGATCACACAGAATGCACCTGTACACCACTGCTGTCATTGTTTTGCTTCCACTAACAGTAAAATTATCTATAATGGCATAACTGGAGCAGCAAAATGTTTTACTGATGGAATGGTGTGCTTCGGTCATGAGCTGTTTTTTTTTTTCATGCTTTCCTCCTTCCTGTTGAGGAAATGTTTACACTCATATCCTGAAAAGCAATCTAGACTTGCTGTGCAGTCACAAAGGGTCTGTTTCGCAACATGCAAATGATTTTCTGGCCATCCACCTGTGCTCCTAGGTCTTCCACGTTGATTGCTATTGAGTGTTGATTTTGGCAAACTAACAACCTTTAAAATCACTTTTCAGTCTCAGTCTTACTTACTTCTTCTAGTCAACTCTTTAGTCCCCCTCAATCTAAATTGCAACTCTAAAACAGCTCTGAATCATGTGTGAACTCTTCTGTGTGTGAAAGGACACAACGCTGCCAAAGCCACATTGTGAAAATAAATTATTCTTATCATAGTGACTATAAATGCCTCCAGTACCTTCTCAGAGGGCCTCTTCTCTGCTTCTTTCTTGCTCTTCTCCGAGCTGGATTTGCTACTTCCACTGCTGCTGCTGGAGGATGATGAACTTGAGGAGGACTTGGAGTCTTGTTTACTTAAGCTCAGTTTTGACACAGATCCCTTTGACACCTCTATATCCTGAGGAAACATTGTTGCCACAAAGCATATTAGTATTTAGTCATAAAAATCACAATGTATACAAAAAAAAGACTGTATCAGCATATATATATTCTCACCTTTTGTAATGAACGGTAGGATGAGTCACTTCCTCTTGCAAGGGACTCATCAAGTAGAGCTTTGAGTTTCTCAGCTGAGTCTTTACTCTTGGAGTGCAAATAACTCAATCCCTTTAGAAAGATGGGATCCAACTCCAAACTGACAGGTCCAGCCATAGCTTGATTTGAGAATCACAACATAATGTTATCAGTTTTTCAGGCCTCAGTTAGAAGTTACATTGTGAAATACCACTGCTAAATTCAGTCCAAGACAAGTTTGGTGAAAATAGTAAATGAGTTACCAAATACAATCAAAACAATGAACCAAACAAACAAAAAGCGTGCAGTAGCGGTATAGAGTTTTTTGTTAATGTGCGCTCATATTTGACTTTATTGAGATCTTCAGGTATTATGATAATGAAACTCTTTACAAAAACAAAACATCTTTGTCACAATCAATAAAATGCTGTTTAACCGTGTAAACAAATGGATTCTTGCATGTGCAACCTCCTGGAGTCAGTTAGGTAACTTGAAACAGTCTTGGGTTCATCGTGACCTTTAGATTTAGCTGTTTCTTTGGCTCTTAGCATTAATGATAAATAAAGTTGTCTCCTCTACATGAAACTTTTAGAAAGATTTAAATATTCAGTAGTTTCTCCTCTGTTTAAACATGGCCACGGTTTGCTTCTCATACAATGATTGTCTTTATAGTAGGGCACTGTGTTTACAAAAGATGACATAATATGGACACCAAAAGAATGACAGGAGAGAAATGGGCCAAAGAATGACGTCTGAAAGGAAAAATAGAAAATATACTTGAACCAGGACTCTTGATTAAAGTGTTCACTGTGATGTGATAGTTCATTTACATCCATGTACTGTCCTGTAATGTTCACTTCTCCGTGGATATTTTACATTATTTTCGTATTTCAAGGCAGGATTTTCGGAGATAGCCTTCTCCCCTGGCTTGAGCCCCAAGTGTCTCAATTTCTCCGCATTCGTTCGTTGGGTTTAAGATAAAGAAACACGGACGTTAACGATGAGTACAGTCGGTGACTGTGTAACGTGACTAGTGCTTTGATAGCGGCACACTGGCTAAAGATATCCTTCCTCTCTGCTGGCAGTTATGCAGATAAATTTACAGACAATATTTTTTTCGGAGAACTACGTTACCTCACACTCTGCTTCTGGTGAAAGTCTGTGCCGTAACCCGGTATTTTCGTTCTGGTGACGGTTGGGCAACACTTCCTACAAAAGCAGCAAGCAAGCCCGGGTGGCGCTTCCTTCGTTTCTCAACCTGTGCAACCGTCAAATGTGTCCGGAATGTACACGGTCGGAACCTTATAAGGACAACGTTTTGATTTTTTGTTTTTTAACCAAGGAATAATGTATGTCTGTCTTAATCTGCATTTAACATTGAACTACAAGTACCGTGTATGCTGCTGGCATCTCTATACGGACGGGACACTTTTAACATATTACGCAATTTTAATAAGTATTAATAAGTCGACAGCTGAGGGCGCTGTGGAGCTATGCTAACAGTAGCATGGGGGAGAGAAGAAGCAGGAGCGCAGTGACCGTGTGGTACCATAACAACGTGGTTTTATTGTAGTAGCCAATACATATGTTCGGACCTCTGTTGTAAGTATCTCTAAATGTCATTTAATAAATTTCAACTACGTAAGCCTAGCTGGGCACACCAACGCATTCCCCAAAGCTAACTATTTAACATCTCTTTCAGCAGCGACACTATTTACAATGACAGCCCTTGAGGTAAAGCAGCAGCAACCATCGCTCTATTTAGAAGTTTGCTCCCAAAATGAGGAACCTCGTCTTCCCCTGCACACCTCCATCGTCCTGTTCCTTTTGTCCTACTGCGAGTGCAAGTCTTTCAAAGTTTTCCTGGTCTCCAGCAAGCCTAACAGCTCGAAGTCACTGAGCAGTCAGCTACCGGTGTCTCTGGATGTGTCTGACATCCAGCCAGAGGGTCTGCCCCCGCTGGTGCACGGCTGCCGTCTCCCTGCTGTTCTGGATGAGACCAGAAGTCTCTGCAGGGCAGGACTCGCAGTGGTTCTGAGACATATCATCAACAAAACCATTGAGACCGACCCTTCCAGAAATGATGTATTGGCACTGCTGGGCTTCAAGAAGACGTGTCTGAAGGCCTGTGCTGAGGTAAGTGGAAAGCAGGGAAAGAAATGACAAGAATACAGAATAGAAAGAGAAAGAGCTGGAGTTGGAGTGACTACTTTACTTACTTGCAAGGTACTTGGAGATCATAAATTAAAAGTTTCACAACTTTAGCAGCAACTGTATCAAGAATAACTATACTCAACAAAGGGATAGATCGTAGCCATTCTTTTAAATACTGGGTAATAAGTATTTGTTATTCCAGCACGCTGCATTTCTACAACAGATATCATGAAACAAACAAGTACGCACTATGTTGGAAATAATAACAGGCACATTGAGAGTGGGGTCATAGATCACAAATCACAAGTCAGCAATGATGTTAATGAGGTTGTTGATGCTGCTTGTGGAATGTCGTCCCACTGCACCTGAAAGTTTTGGTGCTGTTGATGAGCATTTTATAATAATATAATAATAACTTTATTTGTATTGCACCTTTAAGAACAACAATTCACCAATTGCTTTGACAGGTAGAACATAAAATACAGGTACACTATCAGGCAGGACAGGGCAAACACAGGTATAAACAAAATAATAAATAAAAAAGTGCATGCAAACACATGTAAATACACACCGTAAAAAATGGAAATGTCCAGAATGGATAGCTGGTTAAAAACTGGTTAAAGGGACGACATCACACAAGGGGATTAAGAGAGAAGCTGAAGAGAAAATCAAAGGCTTTACCTCCACACATTTTAAATTTTAGGGGATCAAGTTTTCAGACACGTCCATTCAAACAAAAATATGGCAGATTGTGTGTTGTACTATACTGTCTGAATATATGCCTTAGACAACAACTGGTTGTCCACATTCATGTGCCTGGCCACAGCTCTAACTGACGGGACCGCATCCAGCAACCAACAGCCAGTTCTCGTCTTTCTCTTGTCATCTGTGGCATTGTGTCATTTAGATAAAGCTGCATGTTAAGGTGGCATTTTATAGTCACTGGTCAAAGGAATGTTTGTGTACTGGTCACTCTGTCTAATCACTGTCCTTTAAAGCTACAACTGACTAGAGTGTGGATTAATGCAAGGGTTGACATTTTTTCACCTTTGAAGAGTTTCAAAAGATTTAATGCTCTTTTGGCTAAATTTAATCCTTTTCTATCGATTACAATAACAATTAAACTTTAGCTTTTATTTTCCAAGTCAGAAAAGAAAACCATTTGGTGGCTGAGTTTATATTTTTGTTTAATTCATTTTAATTTTATTTATATAGCGCAATTCACAACATATGTCATCTCATAGCGCTTAACATAGTAAGGTGAAGACATTACAAGTTTGAGGTTGTTCAGTGTATATTGGAAGTTCTGTGCATTTTAACCTCTGGCTGTTGTTAAGGTCACAGTTGATCTCACTATCACGCCAGCATCAGTGCTGTGCATACAGATTGCATACATACTGATTTTCAATAAACTTGGACATAATATATGCCTGCAGACAAGCATGCAGTTCAGCATCCATGAAATATACATTTTCCAATGATGACATTAAAATGGATTAATACCATTAAAGATTCAGTTGAGCTAATGAAACTGACCTACCTCACGACTTTGTTTAATGTTGTTATTTACCATGAACTAAAGGAGAATATTTGGAACTGATTGGGCTTAAAGTCTGTGGGTTGCAGTTGACTTATGAAATTTTTAAGTCAACCATGGTAACCTTCTTTGCAGGATAACATCTAGACCAGTGTCCTTATAACCTATCACACAATAAGGTGTTCAGCAGTGTCTTTCAGTTTTGCACTTTTAGACAGTGCTGTATTTGACCTCAAACATGGTGTCTTTTCTCACTTTCAGGTGAGTAAGTGGACCAGACTGTGTGAAATTGGCATCCCTTCTGCTGTTGAGGAGCACCTCCGAAATCCCACCAATCAATATCAGCAGCTGCCTCTCTCCATTCTCACCCTTGAGAGAAGGCTAGCGGAGCCTGTCAAAGTCCACAACGATGACAAGATACGCAGACAGAAACTCCAGGAGCAGAGACAGAATGAAAAGAACGAGTCCACCGAAGGCCAAGGGAACCTGGACTCCGAGTCTGGACAGTCACCTCGAGTCTGTGACGGACTTGAGCTTAGAGCAGCTTTGTCCAAACTGTCTGTGGATTCAGTTCCAGCTTTAACCACCAGAGAGAACTCTGAGATCAGGAAAGTGAAGACAACAGATTTGCCTCCACTGGAGCATGTGTTTGCTGAGGGATTGTACTTCACTCTGACTGACGTGGTGCTCCTGCCCTGCATTTATCAGTATCTGGTAAGGCCCGTGGACTTGATGACATATGAGCTGTGTTTGAGTGTGTTCAGCAACGAACCCTTGTGGCTAATGACCTCATTTATATTATGCTGTAAGTTATTACCTAATTTTGATTCATGAAAACACATCAAATGCTCATTTCATTTTAACATAAATGCCAATGTTTCCTGTTTAAACCTTATGTTTTCAACAAGCTTTCTTTAAAAGATATTCTTTTAGCAAACAATCAAGCATAGTCATCCAAGGCTTTGTCTCCCATATAAACAAAAGCACATGTGCCTTACGTCTGATGTCAGCATTTAGATGTTGCCATTCAGGCGACAGAGCCCCCATTACATGTATTTACTGTTTTTTTTTTGTTTTTTTTTTTAATACCTTTATTATGATGACTTGTCAAATTATGCATGACGTATGGTTTTGACACTCTGGTCAGGGTGAGCAGTCGGTACACCCAGCTCCTTTCAGATCCATCCAGGCAGAAACTTGAGTTAAGAAGACTCACTGCATCAGACTTGGCACAGGTTTTGCTCTCAAAGGTGGTCTAGAGCCACCTGGCAAAGTCTGATAACAGTGTATGGGAGGGTTTCTATTCAAATGCAGCAGGTTGAAATGCATTTCACTGACTTTACTTTAGGAACACGTCTCTCTGCAACAGATCAAGAGTTGGCAAGATGTTAGGCTGACCTTAAAACTCTTAACTTAAAAAAAAAAAAAAAGATTCACAAACATTTTCCGAATATTTATTATGTGCAATTTTTGAGGAATTCTGTTGTAACAATTAAAGTAACTGCGGCTGAGAATTGAGAGCTGCTCAGTTCAAGTGTATGTTGTTATTGATCAGGAATGCTGCATTGTCAGGCAGTGAAGTGGGTCTCAACCTCCATTTCACCTCTCAGCTGTCTCCAGCTATTCCTTGACTGTGGGAATGAACTGAGGTTCTCACAATGAGGCTTTTAGTAGTCAGCTGTGCTCCAGTGGTTTCCAGTTTCACACTCAGCCTAGCGTGTCTCCTCTTAACGGCCATCACTGTCCGCGACACATGCAGCCACAGTGAATCCTTTCCACTCCACCCACTTGTCATACTGCAGAGTGCCCCCTTCTTTCTCTTGGGTCTGTGTCCCTCGCCCCGTGTCTTCACACATACTCACATGCAACTGACACAGCTTCTCTGATCATGTCTTTGTTTGTGTCTTTTTACCCTCCCCACCTGCCAACTCTGTTTTGATGTTTTTTTTTTTCCGGCCGGCCCCTTGTGTGTGTCCATCCGTCAGTGTGATGACTGAATTCTGTTGAAACCTGACATCTCGCTTCACTGGAGATGACACGTCAGTTGAGTCACTTAATCAATATCTCCTTGTTTTTTTCCCCTCTTTATTCTGTTATTTCTCTGTTCGCCTTTAATAGTGTTCCCTCCAAACCCACGCTGCGAGCACTCTACATCAGCTCTCCCACATCCTGCGCTGGTACATTCGTGTTCAGGAGGTACCTGGGGTGCTTCGGGCAGCCAAGGCTTGTGGACTACTCCTGTCCAACCCCCTAGTTCCCACATCCAGCCTCTCAGAGCCATCTGCAGAGGACAGTCCAGCAAACCTGCTTGTAGAAGAGGAAGGCCAGGAGATGACCACACAGATTCCTTTTGTCGGCGGTCCCCGGCCCACAATCACTAAACTCAAAGTAAATGATTACTTTCCCTTACTTATTCCTCAGTTTGTTTTGCCTCTATGTGTTCTCCAAACATTTGTTCTTCAGCACACACGTACACTGGCTGGAAATTTAACGGGCTGTCTCCTAGTGTCCCTTCACAGCACGTAGAGGGTTTGCAGGCTCCAACTGGTTGTTAACTATTATCCCTGTAATTTCATGCCTCCATTTTCTGCTGATTGCGCCTTCAAGAGTGTGGCTCTCGCTTAATGTTTTGGCTTCTGGCAGACTTTTTTAATTGTTGAAATTTTTCATCTTTCTGCCAGTACTTTAACTTAATTTGCTTTCAGTCAGAAAATTAACATTTTAAGTGGGTTTTTAAGAATTTTAGGACACTTGTCTGTTTACAGTATTTCCTTGCCATAGGTGTTTTCTATAACAGCATATTTACAGTCAAGACAAAGTAGAAAAAAAGCAGAAAATAGTGACCTCTCTTAAAAGAATGCCAATTTGTTTGTAAGAAAAGTATCTTGCTGCCCTCAATGCTTTTTAAACTGCACATTTCAGTATTCTCAGTGGATCATTTTGCCACTTGCAATAGTGCAGACAGTGCACATTCAGCTTATGCTCATTTCAGGTGCAATAAAAACAATGAATCCAGTCCAAAACAAAACAAAGTTTTATAGACACACTAAGTTGTTTATAGTAATGGCTAAAATTTTTAGTGTAAAGAGACAAGACGGCACACAATCCTAGCACAATCCACTCCACACTCTTAAAATGCAGTTCCCTCAGGAAGCATCGGCAAGGCACTTACACAGTTGCACACATTTATAGTTTTCTTAGCACCATAAGACCTCAGATATTACCTCTGCAGCATTTGAACTAGGTTTGGGGAGGGAGATAAGCAGACCCAGCTGTATAAAAGGAGACAGTCCTCTCCACCCTGACTAACCTCTCACTGCTGCACCCTCAGACTGTTCTGTTGGCCTTGTTGCTCTCCTCTCTCAGCGAAGATATTTCTATGATTTCCTGCTGGCTAAATGTGTATAACGATGTGATATTAACTGACTGAAAAAGTGGAAAGGAAGAAGGCAGGACAGGAGGGTTTGGAGAACTTGGATAAGGCTGAGTGAGCTGGGTGGTCAGGATGGGATGTGTCTTAAGCGTGTCCTGTTGACGGAGGAAATTTAGTTGGGCCCAGATGTGCACAAATGACAGTTTTCATGGCAGGTTGAAATCAGACATTAAAACTGAGAGGAATGTTTGCACACACACACACACACAGACACACATACACAATGGCCACCATTCTGTGTGTGCCTAAAGGGATTACAAGGATGGCTACGTGTCGCCACCATCATGTCTGCAGTGCAGCTGTTGTGTTGTCTTGGCCAATGTCCCTGTGTGTGTGTGTGTGTGTGTGTGTGCATGTGCATACGTCCTCATATATGACTCTGTGTGTTCCAGCAAGGCAAGTACATGGAGACAGATAGATCTGCCGTCTGACATGGTGACAATCGATCCTTCACTGCTGCTAACCAGAGGCACTGGGCTCATCTCGCTACACTATCCACAATATAAATGGCTCATAAACTCTGCCTCTTTCTCACTTCAGTTAACACACACCCATGCATGCCAGTCAAACTGCCTGTGCAATGAGCTGTAAAGGCACAACCTGTGATCTAAATGTATGGGTAAACAAAAGGGTAGCCCCAACGCCAAAATCAAGATCCTGCAGTATCACTTCCTAACAAGGGCTAAAAATACACAGCGACTGAAAAGCTACCGCTAAAAGTAGAAGGTTATCCAGAAAACAGGATTACTATTTTAACAAGATCAATTGAATAAAAACTGAGAGAAATCTATGATTTTCTGTTAGACGAATTGGCTCACAGCGAAGCCGGTGTTCCAGAAATAAGGATTACAGGCAGTCTGTGTTCCTGTGGAAACTTACTCTCTGAAACCAATGAGCTTTATGGCAGGATACTTTAACCAATTAGTCCTCGTTTGGCCCTAAAGCTTAGCTAAGCAACCAAGATTCCTTTTTCCAGACAACATCCACCTCAGTGCTGCTTCAGAATATGACTGAAGTGCTTTTTGACCAGACTTTCAGTTCAATCAATACAATTTTGAACTATATAGTAGAAACTAGAAGGGTTTAAACTGAATAGATTGTTTATGTATTTCAACTTTTCACAGTAAGTCCAGATTTTCTTACTGAGATATCTCACAAACCTTCACCCAGTGAGAAAAGAATGACCTTCAGGCACATTGCAATACAATGTAACACAGCACATTTGAAATATTACAGCTTATACAACTATGTGAAACTTAGAATAGATTGGAATTGCTTTCGACACTGTCAAAAAGGTGTTGATTTTGTTATATTGTTAGGTTTTTCTTATGTTTTAGCACATGCTTTAATGTAAATGCAGAAGACAAATATTAATAATATTTAGATGGTATATAAAACAACATCACACTGTTCAGCCCCAACGTTTATTTAACTTCTTTTGTTTTGCTTTTGCATGATATTATAGTGTTTCACATCACAGTAATAACGCACAGTAATAATTTTTCTGATCACTCAGTATCTTGTTTTTTATTATGGAGAGAGGTTTTAAAAGTTGAGACGGCCAGTAAAGATATTTTGCAGTATTTAAATCAAATTTAATACATTTTTATTTTGATGTTTATCTCAAGGATATTAGTGACAAGCTGAAAGGCTAAAGAAATTCTGTGACTTACAGCTGCAGGGACTCAATAAGTTTGTGTAAAAACCTTAAAAAACATGTTGTCTTGGCATGATTTAACAATGTTCCACTGCCCTTCTTGTGATGTCAGGAATGTCTGACTTTCTAAATCTTTAGGAGCTTCCATAAATGTTCACGTAAGGTCAGATGACTGTGGAGGAAGGTCCATGGCAGTCAGAACCAAGCAGCAATCTCTTAGGATGAAGCCTGCGCAATAGTGTCAAGAACTGCAGTTCATCTAATGGCCATTTGAGGCTGACTCCGAAAACGACTCAAACACTGTAGACCTCCACGTTAAAATAAAACTTTTCAGCAGCAATAAACATGTTTACAGTCTTAAACAGAAAAGCTTTTGGTCTCTGTGGCTGCTTTCCCTGTTCATGGCAGCTGGACAGGGAGGAATTTGTATGCAGCTCACCCATTTAAATTGTATTAAGGCTTAAAATTATGTATGATTAAGGGCATGGGCGCTCCATAGCCCAGAGATGTTTGCATGACTTGCCTCAGCTCCGCTTATGCTCAAGCTCTTTGCTCATTTTTGGATTAGACAGGGTTTAGAAAGAGTCAGGTACTGCCAAGAGTTTGACAGCTATGGTCAGCACTCCTTGTTCTGCTTTGGCCTTCCAATAGCTCCTGCAAAAAGCTTTTAGCTGTGTTTGAGCTCCTGCATCAGTATCAATCCTTCTTTGAAAAGATGCAATTTGTGTCTGAAGTATGAACTGTTACTGCTTCTCAGTCAAAAGTGTATCGCTGATTTCTTCATTATTTTACATACCATGTTTTTCTTGTTTTTAAATGCTTCCTGATCCTTGAATTTTCAGATTATTGCCATGTTTTCATAAAAATCTAACAGATTTTAACGTGTTTTTAGATCTTTAGCCCTCACTGGATATATAAAAATACATATTGAGTTATTTGTTTAACTTATTGTCTTGCAGTAATGACAGAAAGTATATTTACAATGTTTTTGAATATCATTACACTTTTAGAATGCTATCTTCCGCAAAATAAATTGCTGTTTTCTTCCCATTTAAACCTAATTATTGTAGAATTATGCAGTGCTCCAAAAGATTTGTAGTTGTGATACCTAAACAGTAGAGCACTGTGTTTTGTATTGTCTTGTGTAAGTTTTAGACACTGAAAGAAAGAAATAAAATAGATTTTATTTTTCAACCATATAGAGGACGCTAAACAGAAGAGAAAAACAAAATTGAATCAATACTTGGTGGGATCACCGTTGCCTTGAAACAGCAGAAATTCTCCAAAGTACATTTTCACACAGTTTTTAAGATACTTGGCAGGAAGGTTGTTTGTAGATTCTTGGAGAAATTGCAACAACTGCTTCTGTTTCTTCATGTAATCCCAGACTGAGCCCATAATGTTGAGATAAGGGCTCTGTGGGGTCGTTGTCATGCTGCAGAATGAATTTAGGACTGATCAGATGCCATCCAGATGGTGTCGAGTGATGAATTTAAATGTGAACATCGAAAGTAGCCAACCTAAAAGTTCTGCACAGTTAAATATCTAACTAGAAGTACTTAAATAAAGTACAACATTAGTGTGGTATCAAGCGAAAATGTACTTTTGTTCTCACCCTCTTATCCGTCAAAAGCACAAAAAGGAAGTTCTTTATCTCGTTTCTTGTATGTTTTCATTTTTTTCTGGTATGTTATTGAACTGATTGTCAAGGAGTATGTAATGTACTGTACCAGTCAAGGATTGTTCTCTCTTGAGATCGTAGTAAGTGGACTGACTTCTCCTCAGGTGCAGCCTCAGATCAGCGTGAGCAACAACAAAGTACTTGTTCAAAAGCAGTCCTCTTTACGTTGCTTCATTACAACCATTTGGGCCACAGAACCTCAAGGCTGTAAAGGTGTTTCTATGGTAACATGTGCATTTGTGTGTGTGTGTGTGTGCGCGTACGTGTGTACACGTCTGAATACTTTCCCTAGGAAAATGGCATCGAGTCAGTCTTCGCTCCTCATCCTTGCCCTTCCTGGACCCTCCCATGGGACAGCTTACCAGGAGCTATCAACCCCACTGAAGGTAAAGTCAGATCTTGCCTTGTGGCTCTCTTCTCTGCTTCCTTCATCTTCATTTTGCCCTTCTGCCCTTCTGCCCTTGCAGTCTTTTTAGTGTTCCTTTGATCAGACCTTTTATTTTTACATTTCTTTTCCTGTTTTCTCTGTCTCACCATATTCACCTCTCTCTATGTTGCATCCAGACCCCCTTCTTACAGCATTTTTATCTCCCCCATCTCTTTATTTTGCGTGCCTCTACATTACTCCACACTCCCCTTCTTCCCTTTCCTTCTTTTCTTCCAACGCTTGGTCAGCTTCAGAACAAATACTATTCATATTGTATACATGCCGAGTACCCTGCATAAACATTTGCATCAAGCCCTCCCCCGTGCTGCTGTGGCCTGGTGATTTTCAGTGGCACCGTGCGCTGACACGTTGCAGAGCTTTCTGTTCATCCTCAGTTGGATGTGGTTTCCCATGAGGCCCCCCTAATGAATTTTAAAGTGCTTATCTACATGTGTTATCCTCCTTATGTTGTGGGGTGAAAGTGTGAAATAGGTCTGTGACAGGAGGAGACTCAGCACAATAGAAACACACAAAAAGGTGCACACACAACTAATGTGCAATGTGGAACTTGTACTTATGCCTTAGTGGATACTGATTGCTGTGAAAGCAGGATCTAATAGACAGTGGAAGGGTTGTTGATTGCTGCCCCAGGTGGCACTGGTGAAGCAGACAGAAGAAATCTCTGTTTTTGTTGTCTCTCTTTCTCTTGCCTGCATTGTTTTTCTTCTTATTAGTCGGATGTCTGTGCTGGTAGAGATGCTAAATAGTGTTTGTGCATGTGTTGCAGCAGCTGCAATGCATCAGTGTTATTGTTACAGGAAAATGGAGGAGGCTGATAAATGCACACATATATATGCATTTGATGAATATTTAAATCTGTCGTTTCATTTCTTGCATCCTTTCATTTTCACTTGTGTGGAAAATTGTGACAAGCGGAAGTTCATTCTCATCGTTTACTTCCTCCAGTCGAACATGGAAAAATGAAGCCAGGAAGGCATTTCATTATTAAGATACAAATGGTACCATAACTTTTGCCATCTTCCTCTTTTGCGTTATGTGTTGTGCAGATCTAACTTCCACTTCATTTACCATTTTATGGGACTATTTCTCTGACTCTAAACAGCTACATAAACGCAGAGCAAGTTAGTACATTTTGTACCTGTAGCACCTTTAACGACACAAAGTGACACGACCCTGGGAAACACAACAAGAAAATTACAGAGAATGGACAAACATATTACAACCAATTAAACAAAGCATACCTGATATACTCACTCTCACTATTGTTAGCATTTGTTTTGCTCACTGGATGTACTAGACTGTGATCAATCATCTTACTTGTATTGCTTTGGGGCTACATAACAGAATGGTAATTATAACCATGTATTTCTGTTTTCAGCGATTCGGCCAACATGTTCACAACAAATAATGCTTGTTTTACTGATTTTTCTGTTTGTGTGAATATTTCAAATACAACTAATTTTAAACAGTTTCACTTAAAGTGAGGCTAAATATGCAGTGCAGTTGGCACTGTTAACAAAATTGTTTTTTATTATGTTGCCTCTGCGCTCTGTCACCTTCACTGAGATTAAAAAAAAAAGACTATGTTGCTTAAGTGATGACTTTCATTCAGTTTTAATTTGAGAGTGTTTTAGTTACAGATGGACAGTGTCAAAATTATAGCATTTTTTCTATTTAAAACGAGTTAAACATTTGTATGTACAGTTAAAAAAAAAAAAAAGTATTTGCCATTTGTTTAACATATCTTCTTAAATCACTAAAGTCTGTGACTCCTGATGGGGGCAAGATAATGAAAACATTCGGTGAATGTTGCATGAGGTGCGCTTAAGAAAAGATGTGCAGTGCGTATTAATTAAGATGTAGATTTGTAGTGTTTAAAAAGTATGACATCTATCATAATCTTCATTGTAAGATGTTAGCATGCTGACATTTGCATATAGCACTAAACCCAAAGCACAGGAATGTTACTGTTTTTTCTCATATTTGGTCATAAACTAAAACTTTAATGATAAATTATTTTGATAATTGCTGCTTGATGAAAGGTCAAATGATCAAAGAGACTGTAGTTCATTTCTTGGGAATCAATGTCTGCACCAAATGTCTTGCAATCCATGGAAACGGTTTTCAGATATTTGAATAAAAAAAAAAAAAAAAGAAGCATGTGGTAGCGCTGGAAGAAAGTCAGAGGAACACCAAAGTCAGCAGAATACATTGTTTGGAGAACATGCATGGTTGTGCAGAATTTCACCAACTGCGTGGACTTAGACTGTCGCCAGGGTCATACCACTAGCACCGTTAAAAAACTCCCGTCGTGTCTTCTCTATTCATTTGTTCGTCTGCACTGTCCTATAATTGTGGGACTTGAAGAAAATAACACCCTGAAAAACACCCTTATGAATCCCTTAAAATTAAGTTTGTTGTTTTGTATCTATTTGTATGAAGTGGTAATAGTACCAGTAAGAAAATGAGAGAAATCCAACACTTTCACTTCATCGTCAACATTCCATTGAAAGTACAATGAATGTGCTGACTTAGAGCCAAACAACTGAGAACGTGTCATTATCCTACTACTTTCTGACTGCACAGCTCCCCGCCGTATTTGTTTACATCCATTTGCGGCCGATTAATGCAGTTCCACAGTGCCACTTAATCATCTATTTCTGTCTAAAAGCTCCACCCCAAAACTCACTCCGCTGACATCTAAACAGAAGGGCTCTTGATGATGTGGGTAGCGTGTCTATTCTGAGAGTGAGATTCATGGAGAGAGACTAAATTTTAGCTGTCCCACTTTTGTCAGCACTCTGCATGATAAACGGCACTGTTGATATCTCCTTCTGCAGTATTAGGCCGGTAGGTAGGTAGCCCCTGTGTTTTAGTACAGTGCAATTAAAGAGGAACAGAGACGAAAGGCAGCCAATTTGTCCTGAACCCCGGCGCGTGGGCTTTCCCATCCATCTGCTCCTACAGGACACACAAAAACGACTGCACACATGCCTACATGTACAGTACTACAGGGAAAATTGCAGCATTTTCCCCTTGCGTATGCATAACTATTTCCGTACCTGCAAAACTAATATATAGCACAAGTCTGTGAAATCTATCTTATTTATATGTGCTTGCTTATCTTTTTCATCTAAGTGCATATATAGTTCATCCTGCAAATGCTTGGATAGTTTTGGCTCCAGAGCAGTTGGATTTCAAGTGAAGCAATGCAGACTTTCAGCTTTAATTTGAGTGTTTTCGTCCAGCATGTACAAGTGTTAGCCTCTTTGATCCATACCCCTGATGGATTAAAAAAAAAAAGGCCACAATTTGTACCCACAATGTAAATGTAAACACCTCCAGGCACCCTCAAAGCAGCACTTCAACCTTGCAGTTGTTGTTCTGTTCGAAATCCATTGTGCTGGTGTAGGGCCAAAACAATAAAGAACATATCACCGCACCAGTTGTTTGTGACTGCACTGTATATTTCTTTCAGATATATGGTTCATAACTACTTCTACGTCTAAAACGAAGATAAACACATTCATTCATTCGCCTTTCAAAACTGTGCTTTGCTCCATACTGTATATTGTTCCAAGTCTATCGACTGATTTGCATTCAGTGATAACAATACACGCACACACACTGACACTCAGGTATGCACAATATAGGAACAAAGGAACCTCTGTGAATATGTGCTTTTTTTTGTCCTCCTTGTGTAAAGGGTTTCTTCACTAAATGGAGTGAGGGTTGTCTGCAAACAGGTAAACAGCAATGTGAATAGAAGGGTCATTGTATAGAGCAGCCAGCGTCTTGTCTCCGGCACTTCACTTAATAGAGAGAGAAGGGGAGGTTGCAAATAAAGCAGGATAGAATGATGGAGTGTGTGACAGTAGGGGATTGAGATAGAGGTGAGACAGCAGGAGGAGGAACGAGGGTTATCAGGAGAAAACAAGGCAGGGGGAAGAAGAGGGGTGAACGAGACAATGAGGCATTAAAAGGGAGTGCTGTTGAGGAAGCGGCATAGTTGTCATGCTTGAGACATGCTGCTATTAGGTCCTTCAGGGCTGTTTTGGTACAAGGAGATGAGATGAGTTCCCTTGTCTTTGTCTTAGGTTACAAGACTATGACAGAAGTTGAACTGCCGGACTGAAAACTGGCTCCATTTGTCTCTGTCTCCGGGCTTCGAGTGCAACGGAGACGTGATTGAGATTTCACAAACTCCACAGTCGGCTGGTGCATTTTTATTTTTTTTCTTTTCCTTTTCTTGGCAGGTTCATAGAAACAATGAGCGCAGAGGAAACAAAGCTCGTGGTCATTTGTAGAAATGTTGCCTGAGCTATGGGGCATCATCTCAGCATGGAATCCGCATGTATTCTCTTGTTAGTGGTAATTGGACTTGGGGAACCTGGTATCAGGATGACATCAAACGTAAAACTTCCTTGGAAAGCAAAGTCGGATGAAATATTTTGAGCTTGATGCAAATATCAATGATTTAGCTTGTTTATGCTGTAAAAAAATAATGGAAACAGGTGTCTGCTGTGTTGTAAATTGTGATGCCACGAGAGCAGAGAGAGGATATGATCCATTTTAAATATAAATGCAATGATTTGATGTTGTTTTTGATCTACAAGGAACACAAGATATTAGAAGAACTGCATGTGTACGGTCATTTTCGGACTATTGAGCGCACCTGCATATAAGCTGCACCCACAAACTTTACTAAGAAAAAAAAAAATTGCACATATACAGGCCGCACTTCTCTATAAGCTGCAGATGTCCACGTTGTAACATGAGATATTTACACAGAAAGATTTTTTTAGAACTTGTAATTAAAAAATGTACCGGTAGCATACACAAATATGTACTGTAAATGCTTTTTTCCGAATACTGCCTGTAACACGGCTGGTTAAAAAAATAAAAATTACAGTAGTCTACCAGGAAAACTCGCTATAT